ATAATTCAAAGAAAGGAAGGTAGTAGATGAACTTGAGCTTCCAGTGGTAGAGGACGGGACCCAGTCTTGAGTGACGTCCACTATCCTGCCCGAAGGCCTTAAACCGAAAACCTGGGCCATGTCAAGGATGGTTGGAGACATGGGGCCCATACAGAAGTCGAAAGTATTCGTGCCCGAATTCCAGAAAAGAAGGGCAGAAACAAGCAATTCGGGCTTGGGAGTGATGGAAATCTTCGAGAGCATGATTAATTCGTAAATACCATTATCCATCCATCTCTTCTTAAAAGTAGGCTCTAATTCATCAATCCACTGAGCCCAGGCAGGGTCGTTCATCAGAGGAAAGCCTCGTCGGTATGATGACCATTTGGATGAAGAAATGCCCAACCTAGCCGAATAGGGATTTGTTCACATGATGTACTTTGTTCATCCCTCTGTTTTTCGCTACAGTTATATCATGCCCGTGAAATGCCCTCTAAATTTGGTGCGAAATCACTGGTACGAAACAAGTTCGCTACGCTTGCAGCAACTTAAAATCTTTCACAACCAACCTCTTACCGTGGACAAATATTGTAAGCTGTTATTTAATCATATAATTACATGTACAGATACAAATACAGCGATGACAAGAAAATCTGTTGTGTTACAAGAAAGTACACAATCAATCAACATCCAAAAACTGAATGATATACCAAATGTTAATCCAACAATGAAATCTCCAGCTAGTACGGCCAAATACTACCGCCGCCTGGCTTTTTTACCAGAATCTGACTGTATTCCGGCCTCGATGTCTGCAGTTTACACATTCAAATGTTAAGATCTAAAACATTTAACCATTTAAATTGAACATTTACCAAGCCCTCTTAAAAGGTGTAATATATCATTCAGAAGATACTAAATGCAGGTTAATAGCCAAAAAGAAAAGGATACGAAAAGCATGTTGAAACAGAAAAATAAATCCTTAACGCTATTTTTGGGTGAGGGATTGCCGAGTTCCCAAGGATTGAGACCAAGTTAGCAAGAAATGGATCACAGAAAGTTGATAGCAGAGATTAAGGAATGCACTCCAAGATCATTACATAGGTAAATAAGAAGTATTTGCAAGTGACACCTTCCAAGTAGGGATTTCAAATCCCTCTCATATGCCTTTGTAATGGTCATGGAGGGTTTTTTGTAATGCCGGCATCCCTCCTATTCAACTTTTTTGATCAATTAATAACTTCCCATCAATCCCTTGGAACTTGGAAATCCCTTAACTGGAAAATCGCCTAAAGTGAATCTTTATATCAACAAATCATAATATTGTTGGTATGAAAGTCTTTATCAAGGGTTTCTCACCCCAAATTTATTTATGTTGTCTAAATAATGCAAGGTGGTAATCCAGCAAACATCAACTACTCTAGCAGCTTAATCATCATCCATTGCTGAAATTAAGGATTAATCATCATCCATTGCTGAAAATAAGGATCATTACCCCCCATCCGAAAGTTTTTCTTTTGTTACAAACATGGCACTGAATTTTAAATTTCTAGAAAGAGGTGATTAGCGTAAACAATCATAGACTTAGCATGAATAGAAAAAAAAGAAAAAAACCACTCACAATGGAATCAAAAGGGTTGGCCAATCAGTGGTAGGACAATTGGAGGTTTCTTTCCATGGTTCTTATTTACCCTTTCAATTTGTTATGAAGCTTCTATGCAATGGGATGTTCGGGCCTTAAACGCATCCTTGGTTTCAGATTAATGCAATGTAATTGGCATATACTGATTTTTAGTTCCATCTTTGGAGGGTCTTCCTTCTACTTGTTAACTAATGGAAGTAGAAGGCATTTTGCGCCACAACGTGAAGGTAAATGAGTATGTTGTGTGAACTTTGGAATGGTGAATTCTTCTCTGGGTTTTGTTTACTCCTATTTAACTGCAATGATTCTATGACCAAATCAGATTTTGGCTTAGCTGTATTAGGTACAGGTTTCGACAGGTTAACCAGGGTATTTTGCTTTGACTATGCACTTGCAATTAACTTTTGGCACTAAACCAAAACCATTTTTTGGGTACTTTCCTAGAAATGCATAAACCTTAGATTCCTTTCTTACTTATGTTAAACCTTCATTTCAGCTACATTCATGAGAAGCTTGCTATTACTAAACTGCGACTGCAATCCCTTGAAACAAGAGTGCTGGAGGTCAAAAGATTGATTCGGGAGTAAGTCCTGCAGAAATAAGCAAAAGCTAAACCTTTATTTTTAAAAGTTACTTAATCTGTTATACAAGCGTTGTCGGGGCAGGGGGACTTGAACATAGGATCTCAGGTGCAAGGGTACACGCTCTTAACCACTTTGTGCTACAAACCCTTGCCCTTTAGTGGCACTTCTCTCTCCGAATAGGTCCCAAATTCGAATACCTCTATCCCTATTGATTATAAAAAACTACTAGCAAACCTTTGGTTAATAATTTAAACGTTTTCAGTTCTATAATTATGTGCTCCTACATCATATCAAATACCGAGAACAGTTTTGCCCAATTCAATCAACAAGAGTTAAAAAAATTCTACGATCTGTATAATTTGTTCGTCCCTAAAATTAACATATCACATGAGGTGATTAATTATATGAACCGAATCAATTTCAAGAAAATTAAAATTGCATAATTAACGAAATTAACTTAATATAATGATAATTAGGAAACCAAAATCCAAAAATAAAGAATCCAAGGAAAGAATCAGAAGAAAAATTGAGAAAAGACGAATTGGGAACTTACGAGATCTTTGAAAATGATGAAAGCGATTACGAAGAAAAGAACAAAGAGGATTTCGAACTCGGCGAATCGAAAGAACCGAAAAACCGACTTGACGCCCCCAGTCAATGCGGCCTCGTTCGAATTCCGGCTGCTGACTCGTTTCGCCATCGCTGCGGTGGTGGCTCTGTATCGTGTGCCTTCGTTTACCTTGGTAGTTGGTAGTAATGGGGTTCGCGAGGATGGCATTGATTTTGTCCAGTTTCCTTTTAAATTAATAAAAGAAAAATACAGAAAAGTCAGATTCAGATAAAAAGTAAAACAGAATAGTCAATTTGTAAATTTATCTTATTCTTACATTTTTGCCACATAGCTAAACTTATTCAGGCATTCTACACTAAATTATATTAAACCTAAGTTTGATTTCTATAAGGCTCTCAAAGTATCTCGGAAAAACTAAGTGTTATACCAATGCATTGAATAGAAATTACACTTTTACAATGGGCTGGCAAATTTGAGCATGATACAATTTATTGAACTCATGAGTTCAATATATCAAACTCATGATTGCGGTATCAATATATTGAACTAACTCACACTAATGTAGCAGTTGTGTTACTTAGGAAGTTTGATTCCAATATATAGGCACCACGCTCACTTGAACCACTGTGGAAAACCTAATATTATCATTGCAAGTCTGTTAGGCCTTCTATGTATTAAACTCATATAAGAATCATACTTCTATAGTAAGCCAAAAAACTTGAGTGTGATACTAATATATTGAAATCACACTAGCGTAGCATTGTTATAAGTATCAAACTCAATTTGACTAATTCATATATAAATATCACACTCATGCAAATTACTATAATATAACCTTTCAACGTGTCGTGCTTGTGTTAATATTTTACTAGTAGAGGGCACACACTTTGTGTGTGTGAACAACCGTCCACCTCCTCCCACGTTCTCCTCAAGCGCAACCGCTTCAGTTCATTCAAACTATCCAAAAAACATCATGATTTCACTTACCTGTATGAAAAAAATGATAGTGGGACAATTTCTCTTAATAAATGCATATTTTTATCTTATGTAAATATTTTGATACAAAATTACCATTTTGCCCTCCATATGTAAATATTGTGTATCAAAAGTAAGGGCAAAATAGGAAAAATGGGAATATGATTGTCATTTTGTCAAAAGATACAAAATTACTATTTTACCCTCCTCATGTCAACATTGTGTATTCAAAAGTGATGGCAAAATTGAAAAAAAAGAGGCAAAAAGTTGACAAGCCTTCTTCTCTTAATAGAAATAATAGAATAGATAGATGTTGCATCAACTTGTTAAGCTATCGACTGAAGAAATTCAAACTCGAACATGACCTTGTAACACATGTTAACAACTTCTTACTTTTGGCAAATAAAACTTGAAATTTCATCTCAAAGGAGGGAAAGCTTAACAACGATTGACAAAACTAAAAGATCCAACTATAATCTTCTAAAATGGTATTTTTGCTAGAGCTAGGTACCCCTATTTTTTTAATACCTATTCTGGTGGCTGTTTTTGTTACATGATAATCTTAATTTTGCTAGCCTAAGGAACCCTAAAGATATTATTGTTGAAAGCGACTCAAAATTTGTTACAATTGGTTCTTGTATCAATTTATTCGTTGAATGCATATCTTGCGAGGCGAATTTTCACATACACTCAAGTTTTGGAGAGACTTTTCATTATAAGAGAACACGATTTAGTATATAAATGTTACAAAATAATTTGTTAGAAATTTGAAAAAAAAAACTTTTAATCAATTGTTTTGTGATACTTCATCCAAACTATGTTTCCGGTACTCTTCAAGTTTTGAGAACTCTATCAACGGGCTCCAAAATATAATTATGTTTTTGATGAAATCTCACACAATTCTATTCATAGATAAAAACTTACATGAAACATGTTTACCAACGTTACGCAATTCCATTCCAATAACATAACAGATACAAGTAAGTTTTTCAACACATTTCAATATTTTAGAGGATCAGACATCATTTGGGGTGTGACTATTATGTTGCTTTTGGAAATATGTAGTGAAAAATACTTATATGTAACTGAAAAGAAATTAATCAAATTTTAATATGATGTAATTATTTAGACTTGTTGAGGGCAATATAAGTAGGTAATTTGGTGCCACAGAGACTTGCTCAAAATCCCTAAATTGCCAATTGAAACTTGAAAGAACGAGAGGCTCTCCCTTTTCCTCTGTGCAGGTAAATCCATGGCGTCAACAAGTCAACGACCCCTCCTCCTCATTGCCCTCCTCACCCTGTCCCTCTTCGCCATCTCCGCCACCGCATCAAGGCCCTGCAAAACCCTCTTCGTTTCCTCCTACTCCTTCTCCCTCCGCCGTCTCCCCTCCTCCTCTTCCTCCTCCGGCTTCGTCACCGTCGTCACCGAAATCGGCCAGCTCCGCCCCGTCCACATCCACCCTGCCCGCTCAGAAGACGTCTTCGTTCCACACCACCACAACCACCACCACGACAGCGAGAAGCGGACTCAGACGGCACCGCTCTTTCCCTTCATCGGAACGGCTTCTTCGTCGTCGTCCTACGACCTCAGCTCCCTGCGCGATCGCACCAAGGACATCATGAGCGTCGTCGTTTCGCTGCTTTTCGGCGTTGGCTGCGGCGCGCTCACCGCCGCCACTATGTACCTGGCTTGGTCCGTCTTCATCAGTCGCCACGACGACAGCGGCTCCAGCTCTTTCGATGACGATTTCAAAGACTTCAGCCCGAAGAAGGTGGGTTATGTCAAGATTCCGGAGGTGACCGCTGACTCCGTTTCCCCACCACAGTCTACAGTCAAGGAAGCCGCCGCCGCCGCAGTGTGAATAGCGTCATGATGATGGCAAGTTGGTAATTCCATAAATACCTTATAATTAAAAAAATGTGGCCCTTGGATGATGAGAAGTTTGTGACTGTGTTGTGGTTTGGTGATAAAATAAGCTTAAATCGTACGCCGTGGTCTGTATTTATCGAATTACTACTTAATTATTGTCCTCTCACTCTTTTCCTATACAGTTTATCCAGATATGACACATTTGAAATGTTGTTGTATTTCGTATTCGTTATATATGCACGCAATTGTATTGATGCTGCCGATGGATGGACACTGAACATGCATATGCATAATGCCTGTAAATACACTGAAGATGTTGAGCATGAAACCCTTACTGCTAGAACGTAACTTCTTCTAGGGGGTTTTGTTGACTGTTTTAGCCTTCTACGGAATTGGCATTCTTCATAAGAATTGGGGATGGTCGGGTTTTTTGAAATGTCCCTAAGTTTCAATTTCCCACCCATGAATGTGTTCCTGGTTTATTGTCTTTCCTTCAGCTTCATGTTGCTACACCACTGCGTAACTGTTTTTCATGGTATAAATGTTGTGGGCTCTCTCTATTGATACCCATTGGGTAGTTGCTGTGATGAATTCAGTTGTTCTTGAACATTTTGTTGTTACCACTTACATGATTGGGTTTTTGCCCTTGTTTTTGGTGGCAAATGTACATTTTCTATCTTTGTTTCGTATGAAAAATTACATTATATTTGAAACATATGATCTATAGCTGGCTGGGTTATTTAGTGGTTGTTAGGACTATGATTGGGAAGATCTGGATGAGTCAGATAGCATAATTCAAATTGCGAAGAATATGTTACCTCAATAGATTGGATTGTTTGATTTATCAATTCATAGGTGATAGATGAGCGTCTTAATGTGTTTGCAGTGAGCCTTCACTTAGTGATAGAGAATGAACTAGGGAGTTACAGGATATGAGGGCAGTTTAATAATGGGAGGTGGTGGTTCATAACTACGAATGCTTAATAGAGGTGTTTATGGGGGTTATTTAAATTGTAGCAAATATTGAACAAATTAGAGTCTTATATAGGTTGGAACACGGTAATTGATTGGCGGTATGTGGTAGATAGTTGTCGGGTTAGTTGGGTTATGGTGTCGAATTAACAACAAATTGTTAGGTCATTAGAGATGGGTTATGGGTTGCAGGTGAACTATAAATGGAGAGGTTGAGTTGTGACCATTGTGAAGGCAGATGATAGCTCTAATAATCGACAATTGTGGAAGGTACTTGTTAGCTAGACTGGTGTAATCGGTTAGCCTTCCTCTTGCAAGTAATCGTGGTGTCCGTGAGTTTCACTCTTCCAGGTGATATTTCTGATATGAATTTGTATGTGAGGAACAATATAGAGTTACTTCATAAATCACAGGCAGTTCCAGCGAGGGAACCCTCCCGCCAGGCAATACACTATGCTATCCATCTAGTGAACAGTAACTGTCCTTAATGAACAGTAGTAATCTCATTTTGCATCTCCACCGTTGCACTTCAATAGCCATGACAATAGATAATAAAATATTAGTTTTTTTTTTTAAATAATACAAAATAATTTTATTTGTAATTTCGGATATAATTTTTAATCGATCTCGTTGTGCTATTTTCTATTAAAAAATTGTTTTTATTATTTTTATTTTTTCTTTTCACGTGGTGCAGCACACCATTCCAAAATCATTTTTCTTCTTTTCACATGGTGCCAACGCACCATTCCAAAAGCACCCAAACCCTTTCTTTTCAACCTGTGTCCCCCTTCCCCCATCCCCCCAACGCACCCAAACCCTCATTGCCTCTGTTCCTCCATCTTCACCACCCCGCAGCCGCATCTCTTCCTCCATCTTCACCATCCCACCCACCTCAACCTCCATCAACGGTCTCGATCTTCCCTGCTCCCTAACCAAACTCTCTCTCTCTCCTCTTTCCCCTAAAAACAAATCCCAAATCATGCGATCTGGGCACGCCAGTGGAAGGAGGAGGATCACGAGTCCGTGGGGGCGAAGGCGGTTTGGGGTGCGGCGGTAGCTGCGGCGGAGGAGGGACTGGATCTCTGTCATTTGTTTGTGGGTGTTCATCAACCTCGGCGACGAACTTCGGCGAGAGCCGTTGAGTTCGAAGCCTGGGTTTTACAATTTTTTTATTTTTGTATTAATATTTTATATTTTTAATAATTTTATATTATGGCTAACATCAGCCCACGTTAGCCTTCGGGCTCTCGGGCTGACAACTCGTGCCGGGCCTCTCCCTCGAACCCGCTCGGGCTCCATCGCCAGCACACTTTGGGATTGGTTGCTCGGGCTCTCTGCCACTGTTCACGGGCCTGTCCCTCGGGGGAGAGCACACGCTGGAAGTGCTCTAAGCAGGGGGGAAAAGGGAGTACGAAAAGCACTCTGCCAGATTATTGCTGAATTGCATTTTCGTCTTTGGAACACAATGTAAGAGTTGTCCATGTCCCAACCCTCCACTGCACAACGAAATCTAAACCCCAAGAACCCCGAGGCTTGCTGCCTCTGCCCCTCTCTCTCCATCGACCGTGAACCCAAATCCACTGTCACCAATAACCATTGTGAGCCACCGCCCAATCACTGTTAAACCCCCGAGTACACAAGAACCACGTACAAATCTTGGCTTATAAAGCTAGTTGCAGGCTTAAGTCATCACCAATGTAAAGCTGACACGCGACGGTCCATGGTGGACCAGTCATTTATAAGAGCTAATAGTGACATCCATACAACCACCCCCACGACCTCTCGCTTCGTCTGCGAATCAAGAAGCAAACTCTCCGGCTTCGACAACAGCATGCTCAATTTCAACGGTGCAACATCCAAGTTGTTGACAAATTTTGGTTTCTTTGATTTTTGAAATTACCTGCTATGGCAATCCTTCAGAGACATCGACCAAATGTTAGACATCCTAAGGTTTAAACTTTCCTCTTTGGCATCGAGTACGAAAACCAACTCTCTGCTAAAACTCAAGGTATTCAGTTAGTGTGTCACATCCCTATCAAACCAATGAGACTTCAAATGCTTATCAATCGGAAGCGACACCAACATGATATCGTCCATGAACACATGCGACAAATCTCCAGCGACAAACTCAAAAACCTCGCCATTGGCTTCGACTGAGCTACATCCCGGAACCTTTCTCACCATTTTCTCCTCCATTTACTCAGCATTGTGATATGTTCTTCCCGATGTCCTATCTGACAGCCGCATCCGAAGTAGCGATTCCCTTCCTCGCTCAGGAAAGTAAGAAGGAAAGGCATAAAGCAAGTACTGCGAACCACATCGTCCCACTGGTTGGTGGAGGCGTACATGTTTGGAAGAAGAACATGCATTCCACTGTGCTCTAAACTTTTCCTAGACAAACGCTCGACCATTTCTTTTTATAACTCAACATATCCATGAACTCCATAGGCATTGAGCAATGCAACAAAAGATTTCCGAGTCTGGTTCCACGTGCATCTTTCTCACTGCTTTCTTTGCCTCTTCTAGCATACCAGCTTGTCCTAGTAAATCCACCAAACAACCACAGTGCTGTACCTCGGGTTGTATCAGTGTTATACTTTCAAAGACTCGCAGTCCCGAATCCACCAAACCCATCCGACTGCAAGCACTCAATATGCATATGAATGTAACCGTGGACTGCATGAGTGACGAAAAAATTGTTGGAAAATAATGAATTTAGGACATAGGCTCAGCCCGTTTGAATTAGGTTTTGTTAGAGATTAAGATTTAGTTTATTATAAATAGAATGCCTGTTATTTACTTAGAACAAGCCGTCAAGATGTAGTTGTTCGATTATAGCCGTCTCAGCAATCTCGTTTAATCAATAATATTCATAGTATATTTCGTTTGTTAGTCGCCTTGGCTCCACGTGGTATCCCATATCGACTGTATCTCTAAGAAAAGAAGAGTTTAAATATCATAACCCCACTTCATCAAACACTAAGGCATTTTGTGATAAAACCCCACACTTGATGTGCACTTGGTAATTAATTATCAAGTTGAGAACAATATTTGTGTTGTTGGAAGTAGGTATTTGGCCTGTCGTTCTAATAATTATATAATTTTACATGGTATCAGAGTTAGGGAGCGGGCAGTACTGCCACGTGATGGGTGGGTTTCATTGGCCTCGTGCGATGATGGTGGGTCCCTTGGCCCCGTGTGTAGGGTAAGTCCCCTTGGCTCTGCATAGTTGCCGATGTGTGGATCTCTCACGTGTGACCCACTAATTGGGTTCCATGTGAGGGAGCGTGTTGAAATATCCTATGTTGCTCTTTTATGAGAAAATAAGAGTTTAAATATCTTAATCCTACTCCAACTAATACCGATGCCTTTTGTGATAAAACCCTATACTTGACGGATTGTGCAGGTGGTAATTAATAAGTTGGGGACAATATCGGTGTTGTTGGAAGTGGGTTGTCCGTCTCTCTTATAATTCTACATATGCAAAAATCGAGGACGATATAGCTGCAAGAAGTAGTACTGCAATGTTGGTAATGCAGAGAGGGAAGGTTGAAGCTGCTGCTGCTGAAATTGAAGTAAAATGCAGGTAATTCATGGTCTTATTTCTCTATCTCCTCTGATTCTTCTCCTCTCTGAGTATATGTATATAATTGTTTATCGTTTTCTACTTGAAAATCGTAACGGGGAAAGGAAAAAAACAAACCAAACATCACATGTATGTGCTTACATTTTTGTTTGACAGTTTTTCTCCGTTGTCTTTATCTGGTGCATGCGTTTCGAAGGTTTAAGTCCTAATTAAGTAAATTAAGGAATCCTTTAAACACAATTGTTATGCTCAGTGATAACATTATCTAAGGATATCCTAGTAGATGAATATCACAAACTCAACTACTTCGTGTTTTACTACGAATTGACAATTTACAGTAACAAACTAACAATATATACGACACATGAAGACACTTTGACCAAAGACGATTAACTATTAACATATTTTTAACAATCAAGGACACAGTCTATTGC